AGTAAATTTTTTATTATTGTGTCTTGCCTTCTTGAAGATGGAGAACAGAATTTAGACTTGATTCATAAAGGCAGAGATGCTTCTCTGTCTTCTTCACTCTTGTATCCCCTTGGCTTAATGCAGAGCCTGGCACATAGTCCCCATAAATATTTGCTGAGTGAATGCATGGATAGGAAACATTTATCTCTTGGAATGTATTTCTCATATCCTGTGATGCAGATGATCTGTCTGATGTTTCATTGGTTGGTCCATTCCTTTATACATTCAAAAATTTGCTTGGATAACTATTACAAGCCAAGTACTGTTCCAAATCCTAAGAATCTAGCAGTGAACAAAATAGGTTAGGTCCCTCTGTTCTCACTGTGTATAGAAGACAGAATAAACAAATTTTTATGTACTATAATGTCAAGAAGTGGTATGTACAATAGGAAAAAGTAAAGAAGGATGAGGGGTATAAAGAATGACTGAGAGTGCTGTTTTGATAGGTTTGCCATGAAAGACCTCTATGACTTGACATTTGAGTGCTTGCTTGATGAAGATAGGGACCAAGTCATGTGCTTATCTGGAGGAACAGCATTCCAGGCAGAGGGAACAGCAGATGTAGAATCCAGAGACGGAGTTATGTCTGGCATGTTTGTGGACCAGCAAGGAAGCTAGTGTGCCTAGAGCTGAATGAGCAAGGGTGAAAACAAGGTCCAAGAGGTGATCAGGGGCCAGACTTTGTAAGACCTTGAATTTCAGTTATGTTTACTGCGATACAGTATTTGATTCTAGCACATTAAGGGATTTAGATTTTATTCTGCAGAGGATGGGAAGCCACTGGAGGCTTTTGAAGAGAGAGTGAGCTAACAGTATATAATTAAAGGGAACTCCCCAGCTTTTCCCTAGGGCTAATAAGATGAAATACATTTGTCTATGTGGAAGCTATTCATTCCTTTCATTTATTGATTAAATATTTATTTATTCATCATGTAATGGAGACTAAAAAAACATACAGAGTACAAAGGAACAAAGAAAAGTTCTTTCCCTAAGGAGCTCCCAGTCAGATAAGGGACACATACATGAAAAATGCAGCAGAGTACAGGAAGTATTCACAGACACCACACCTTATAATTTGGTTTCACCTACTTTTAGTTGTTATTTTCTTTTTCCCTCTCTGAAAAGTACGCTTAATTTATACCCATGTTCATGCTGTCTGCTCCATCTTTCTTGAACTGTAGCATTATCTTCTGCAGAAGCACCTAATTTCCAGCTGCCTTCATCCAGCAAATTAATGCTGTCATTTACTCAGCACATGATCATTCAGTCTTTAAAATTTAAATTCATATTCCTGGTAGTTTTTCGACAATATGGTACCAAACTAGGGATCCACACAAACTTCCTATAACTGCAGCCACACTAGTCTCTGTGCTATCCCCTCTTCCTCTTCTGGCCTCTTTACCTTTGTAGATATTTCCCCTCTCTCAACTAAATAGATAATCGTTTCTAAAATTTAAATATTTAATATGACTATTAATATGAAAATTTTTAGAATGTATAAGTTAGAGAAGATGACAAAATGAGCATGCATGAATCAAAAACCAAGAGTGAAAGCAGACCATTATCAATAATTTTATGCTTTCTTTTCCCCCTCAGACCACCATTATCTTGACTTTTGGGTAGCTTTTCTTGTAGTTTGTTATGGAGGTTTATTGCCTAGATTTACCTGCTTTTTAACTTTATGTACATGAGTTTTTTGTCTTCTGCAACTTGCTTTCTTTGCTCAGTTTTGCTTCTGAGATATAGCAGTGTGGTTGCTTTATATCTGAATTTCAATCATTCTTGCTGCTATACGATATTTGATTCTAACAAAATCCTATAATCTGTCTCCTCTCTTGACAGGATATTTTGAGTTGTTGTTTTGCATTATTATAGAAATGCTGCTGTGAGTATTCTCACACATGGCTCCTATGCTTCTACTATGTGCCCATGTGCCCAAGATTCTCTTACTCAGTGTCACCCAGAATTTTGCATAAATCAGAATCATCTGCAAGTGTTAAATACCGATCATTAACACACAGGTTACTGCACCAAAACCACAGTTTCTGATTTAGTGGGCCCTGGGGGTGGGGACTGAGTATTTGCATTTCTAACAAGTACCAGCGTGATTTCTGCTGCTGCTGCTCAGAGGACCATACTGCTGCTGCTCTTAGCTAATATCTTGAAGTAGAATTGCCAGGTCTTAGGCAAGTGCATCTTCAGCTTTGCTGAATTGATTGTAGAAGGTTCCCATGCCCACCCCCATCTACTGTTGAATTCCTTTCCACCTAATTTTACCTAACTTTTCAATTTTTGCCAATCTGGTAAGTGTAAAATGTTCTTTATGAGGTTTTAATTTATATTCTTCTTACTACTAATGAAGTGGAACATTAAATGGCTATGATTGTTTTCTCTTTGAGGTGACTGTTGATATCTTTTGCCTGTTTATCTTGTGTTGTGCAGTTTTGCTTATTGATAACCAGAATATTGAGGCAGAAACAGATAAGTGCTTTTATTTATGTTTTCTGTTTTTTAAAATTAAGGTACATGGAAATTAAAACTAGAAAATGTCATAGTAGGGGAAAGAATATAATACCTTTATTTCCATTCCTACTAATTGCTTTAACAGTTGAAATTTGAAGATTTCATTAAGATGTGTTTGTAAAGTATAGCATGACTAGAAATATCTGGGAAGAGATCATATACACTTAACTAGGAGTAAACTGGTCATTATTATTAGGTTATTATGAAGTGCAATTCATTTGCTAGGTATAGTGGTTGACTGCCTTTGCCCATCAAGAATTAAGATATTAAAACAAGTCTTGGAAAAATACTTTATTTCTGTGAATATCCAACAGGAAGAAGATAGAATTTATCAGTGAAATCTTTTGCCATCAACTAGAGCAGAAACTGGAATTCTAGTAAAGATAGCTAAGAGCATATGCATTCATATTTTTGTTTATTTTAAATTTTTTAGCCATCATCATGTTTTGGCTGTTATACTGTTTCCTTCTGTGTTGTTGTAGAATTGAATGCCTCTTAGCTTTTTCCCTTTTAAAATACACCACCCAAACATTGTTTGTACAACACAATGCAAAGGAAACTTGTTTGTGTGAGACACTTAGTTACGTATTCTCTTACTGTACCTCAGATCCCTGAGGGAATATTAATATGGCAGTACTTTCAATAATGTTACTAGAACTCTATTATTATTAGCAAACAAAAGCACTTTGCCCATTGAGTAGGTGACTATTCTGAGCATTTCTGGTTATTTTTGAAATGAAACTTTAGAAAGAAATATACTTTTACTCTTTAAAGAATATTTTACATTATGCTTCTTCAGTATATTATATTTTAAAACTAATATTCTGAAAATAAAGTATAAAAATTTACTTGCTGTATCCATATTAATAAGAATGAGAACTAAATTTGGGGAAAGGTTAAAATAAATCAGAAAATTGCAGTTGTAAAATTGTAAAACTTACTGTAATAAAAAGATTGTTCATTTTCTAATAAATGCTACTCTGACTACTGTTGCATTTACCTGTGTCATTAAAGCCTAATCATTGGTATTTCACAGTGTCATAGGTGAGAATTATGTTACTGAACCTTGAGTTGTATAATTAAACTCTTCAAGAGTATGGAGGTAGATTGTGTGTTCAGATACAAATGCATCTGTAATTTCAGAACAGGAAAAAATAATTAATTTGGAGTCCCTAAGAAAGGATGAGATTTTTTATTTTATTATTTTTTTTGAGCTGGAGCACGAATTAAAAGGAAAAAAAAAAAAAAGACTCATAATAGGAATACAGAGAATTATCTTTTTAGTTGAGAAAAGGGAAACAGCTACAAAGGTACAAAGGCCAGAATTGGAAATGGAGATAACACAGAGACTAGTGTGATGGAAAGTTATGAGAAGTTAGTGTGGATTCCTAGTTTGTTGACATATACTAGAGAAACAATCAGGAACTTGAATTTATTGTGTTAAGGCCTTGAGCCAAGTAGTGTCTTGTGAAAAGTGGTGTTTTAACAAGTTCACATGTCTGAAGAACAGCTAGTGCTTGATCGGTGTTAGGCTTGTCATTGAAATCTGGGCTTGACCAAGTTTGGCGACAATGGGAATAAATTACAAGAACTGTAACAAACCAGGTGTTGTCAAGTTGATACTGACTCATGGTGACCCCATGTGTATCATACTATTTTCTATGGCTATTTTTGCGGGGGGGGGGGAGCCGCAGTAGATTGCTCATCCTTGCTTCTTAGATACCTCTTGTTGAACTCAAACTTCCAACCTCTTGGTGAATAGCCAGATGTGTTAGCTATTTGTACCACTCAGGAACTCCTAGAAATGCAATGTTGAAGGTAGGTTTGATAGTATATGGTGACAGTACATCATGATTTTTAAAATTGAAGTGAGTGTAGGGGCACTTCAGCTGTTAATGCCTTTCTTATTCAGACGAATTTGCATGCCCTCCACCTCCCCGAACAAAAAATGGATGTTACAAATAAGAAAACAGATTTCCTTTACCCTCACCTCTAATTCCTACTTCTTTTGTTAGTGTACATTAGATAAACACACTGAAGGGGTGGTGCCTCTCTATTATTTATTTTCCATGTCCCCCATGAGATCAGCTTTCATTTAACTCCCTTCCTCCTTTATGGCTTTGTTTTGCTTCTAAGAAGGAAGGCTTATAGGCATTTGGCACTCAAATATGTTTGTAGCTGTGAACATTGCTGAAGGGAAAAGTCTTTAAAAAAACAAAGAATTGTAGTAATACTTTTTCAGTCAATATTTCATGTTATCAACATAACTCCTTAGAAAAATTCTGTTTAAAAAAAACCTGGTAAGTAGAAACAGTATTTCTGTATGTTGTTATTTTGAAGAATTTGAACAATGAGAATAATTGTAACTGCATGTCCAGAGTGTTGAGAATATGAGGCTGTGGGCCTTTGGATGATTTCAAAGCCATTTTTTTTTCCAGGATTGCAGCATTCCAGAGATTGAGCTTTGTCCTCAGTCTGACCCAGCGTGTTGTCCTATCTACATACAGCGAGCAGTCCCCAATTTGGAAGAACTGAATATCCCCAAATCTGTGTCCTTCACTGTGAAGTCAGGAGTGTATGTATCACCTTCTCTTTATAATAGGCATTGATGACCTCCAGAGTTACCTTTTATTTCATATTTTAAGAAGTGACATACATATTTCTAAATTTCTCATTAGTTAATTTCTTTTGTATGCCTGGATACCTGGGAAAGACTATTTGAGGGATTAAAATAGCTTCTCCCCTTCATTGGATCCAATTAGGGATTTGATGTATGACTCACAGAACAGGCGTAAAAATATCAGACATAATTCTTGATAGATACATCCATCCTCTGTCTATCCATCACATTTTAGGAGTGAGAAACAAAAATAATGTCCCTGGCCTAAAATGCTTGAGCCTGAATTATTTCTAGAGCCTCTAAGTGCTAACAGTTACTGAGTACTTATATAGTGTACATGGAGCTTAAGCTTTTATGTTTACTTCTACTCTGTCCCTGCAAGGCAGGTGGTATTACTCTCATGCTATAGATGAGGAAGTTCAGTGATTTGTGTCAGGCTGGGAGCTCTGGTAGTTTAGTGCGTAAGGCATTTGACTGCTAACTAGAAGGCTAGTGGTTCAAACCCACTAGCCACTCCTCGGAAGGAAGGTTGAACAATCTACTTCTGAAGTGATACTGCCTCTGAAAAAGGAGGGGTCACTATGAGTCGGATCCAACTCGACATTAGTGAGTTTTTTGAGTTTTACCAGCTGGTAAATATGGATTTGATCCCAGGTGATTGCAAAGGCATCTGTGGGATTATAGTCTAACTCAGCACTGTCTTGATTTAGTCCCCAAATGGCTTGAGTCACAAAATACTGTGAATGCCTGGTTCAGTATAGACCCTTCATCTGTTTTCCACTGTTTTCATGTGCTCTGATAGTTGATGATTTTTTGGTCACTACCCAATGTCTTTCTTCATCTCCTCTAACCATAGATTAGAACTCTTGGGGAGACCTAGTAATTGACCCTGTTCAAGAGACATGTTTATAATTATCAACTTTGGCTTAAAGCTAGAAGGGTCTTTTGGGAATCTTATTTTAAACACTGAGACAGCCACTGGAACTTCCATCGATTCTGAAAATATGAGTCAGAGATGTAGAATGCCCGATGGAATGCCTACCTCTAATTGTCCCATTTTAAAAAGGAATATAGTATACTGGAATGATTTTGATTTATCAATTATATCCTGTTTGGGAAGCCTAACAGACTGCCTGATTAATATTTTTCAATTTATCTATTTTGAATTGATTCTTTTGGTGCTGGGTACCCAAGTTTCTGGCTTCCTTCTAAAAGAAATGAGCTAAAAACATTAGAGACTGACAAGACAAAATGGTGATCTGCTCTTGAAGACAGCAACTTCTGTTGTATTGTTGCTTTGCCACTTTTTCCATTTCTCAATTAAAGATCTTGGTGTTGATAGTGATTTTCTGTTACAGAAGGGAAACATCAATAAGAACTAACCAACTAATGCTTGTTTCTTGTGAGAGGTTACCCATCAGGATATCTCCCTGATACTTGTTGCTGTATCTGTGTAACATCTATATTATTTTTTATGTACTATTTTTTCTTTAAATCAACCCATCTTTTCTTACATAAAGAAATATATTTAAATGGAAATTTGTAATACTTTATGAATGGGAAGCCAGTATCACTTGCCATAAATAAAGAATTTAAAACTTGTAATAAAAATAAAACAGTTTATTAAACTAAAAAAACCAAAGCATGAAAAACAAACAATACAGCTAATGTATTTTCAAAAATAGATACCTAAGAATACATAGATAAGTCATTAAATTTGTTAGAGAAATATAAGATTCTATATTTTAAACAGTCCCATTTGTAAAAAGGTAAAAGAGGGCAATTTGGTGTTGGCCATCAAAATGACAAATGCACATACTACTGGACCTTGTAGGTTTTCTTCTAGAGATTGATCCATAGATGCACCCGCATACTTACTAAATAAGGAAGAGATAAGCCTGTCTGTTAAAGCATTGCTTGTATTGCAAAGGATTGCAAACAACTTAACGATTGGGGAATACCCTAAGTATCTTCATGGGGAATGGGTTTTAGATACGTGGTGATACATCCCACTTGTAGTGGAATACTGTGCAAAAACAAAGAGAGTGAGTCAGATCTTTATGTTAACTTCCATGATCTCCAGTGTGTATTCCTTGCATGAAAAATAGAAGATAGTTGTTATTATTTGCCATTGAGTTGGACCCGACTCATAGCGACCCCTCCTTGGGTTTCCGAGGTGGTATCACTTCAGAAGTAGATTGCCCCATCTTCCTTCTGAGGAGTGGCTGGTGGGTTTGAACCACCAGCTTTCTGGTTAGCTGTCAAGTGCCTTAGGCACTACGCTGCCAGAGCTCCTTAGATTTTAGGAAAGATTAAACTTAACAGGATAGGTAGCATTTGAATGTAAATATTTGTTAACTTACATGTTAACTCTTGTATGCTGTCTGGCTAAATCACTTTGGATTGTATGTTACTAGTGTAATCTGTGACTAGGATTTTTGTTTTGTTTTGGTAGGCCTTTTTATGTTTAACTCTTAGACAACTAGATTAATGTACTATGTTATACTGTAACCAACCACTTATTTCTTATTTAAAATAGTTGGCTTGCCTACCCAGATATTAATTTTAAGGGACAAGCTACAATTTTGGAGGAAGACAGTGGGCTCTTTGAGATTTCTGCAACTGAAATGAAATCATTGCATCCACTACAAATGGTAAGGAAATTTAAAAATAAAAGATTTAAGAAAAAAAAAAATTATTTCTCCTAAGTACTTATGAACCTGAAGTTAAATAATGATTTCATCTCAATCTTAAGAAATTAATGTGTACCATACTAATTGGCAAGTGATTTATTTGTCATTTTTCTGTTTCTTAATATTGTAGAGAATATATCTGTGTGCAAATGTTATTATATTTGAATATATATAAGACAAATGTCTGAATTTACTTGCATTATGCCAAGTCTATCACAATATTTGCAATTTCCTTAGAAATATTTTCTGTAAAAGTTTTGAATATTTAATTATGTTTTGAATTTGTTTTTTGATATCTCTTATAAAGTTGATGGTAGTAAATTATATTTTTCCATTGTAGTAATAAATGATCAACTCAGTATGAATAATAAGTGGACAGTTCTGCCAATGCTTACTTTCTTTTAAAGATAATACATGCTTGCGGTATTTTTTTTATTGTTGTGTTGCAGCAGACTTTTTTATTTGAAGGGCAAAACTATTCAACTAAATGTTGGCTAATGTGCCTTCATAGTTATCTAGTGCGGCTATATAGAAATATCACAAATGGCTGACTTTGAAACAAATAAATAGATTTATTTTCTTGCAGTTTAGGGCTGAATTCAGGTTGGCAGCTGTAGGGAAAGGCTTTCTTTGTCTTTCATCTCTGGAAGAATTTCTGTTGTCATGTCTGAACTTCTGCTCCTAGGCAATCTTCATGTGGCTTATCCTCTCTCTTCCCTGTCTCTGTCTTTCACATGCTTGTTTAATTTCTTTTATATCTCAAAAGAGCTTGGCTCAAGACACTCCCTACACAAATCCTGCCTCATTAACATATTAGAGAACTCATTCCCAAATGAGATAATAACCATGGGCATAGAGGTCAGGATTTACAACACATATTTTTTTGGGCATACAGTCCAATCCAAAACATTTGGCCCTTTTGTCCCCCTGCCAAACAAAAAAAAATTCATGTCCTTGCCATGTGGAAAACATTCACCTCATCACATCATCACAAAAGTCTCAAATCAACTCCATGTCCAAAATCTCATCTTCTGAATCATCTAAATCAAATATAGGTGAAACTTTAGGTATAGTCCATCCTGGGGCAATGTTCTTCATTTTTGAACCTTTGATATCCTAGAGTACAAGTTATTTATTTCCAGGATACTATGATGGAGCAGGCACAAAGTAGACATTTCCATGACAAGTGGGATAAAATTAGGGAGAAAGAAGGGGTAGTTGGCACCAAGTAAGTAGAACAATTTATATTAGCATTCAAGGCTTAACAATAATCCTTTGTTTTCTGAGATCATCTGGGCAGAAGTGCCCATCCTCCAGAGTCTGGGTGGAGACTCTTCATCCCCGGACTTCAGCTTTGCCTTCCGTGCTCACTGGTGCAGCAACTCTACATCCAGAGCTTTATTTGGGTGGTCCCTTTCTCCTAGTCCATCTCAGCTATAACCTCAGCCCCGACAGGCCTCATTCTTCTACCCATTCAGCATGGCAGCCCTGCCACCTCAGATTTGGGCACCAGCCCCATCCTTTTTTTTTTTTTAATTAATTTTTATTGTGATTTGGGTGAAAGTGTATAGAGCAAATTCATTATCTGTACAGCAGTTCACATACGCTTTGTCTCATGACATTGACTACAATTTCTCACAGTGCAACAGTTCTCTTTCCAATTCTTTGCCAGTCTCCCTGCTGCCCTGCAACCTGTCTCCCTGTTAATATACAGCCCTTCTATTCTCCCATGATTGATCTCTCCAGGGAATGTGCCTATCTAATGTAGATGTTCGGCTCATATACCTGTCTTTTGTTTGGCTGAAAGCCACAGGAATGGGTTCAGTTCTAGACCTGAAGGGCAGCTAAGGGCCATAGTGTCATGGGTTTCACCAGGCTCCATCAGACCAGCAAACCTGTCCTTTTTTTTTTTTTTATGATTTTGAATTTTGTTCCACATTGTTCTCCCACTTTTATCCAGGATCTTCTAATAGATTCTCCCTCTGATTGGTTGACAAGTGGTAGCCAGGCATCATCTAGTTCTGGTCTCATAGCCCTATAGGCTGAGGATCGCAAGGTGTACCAGTCCCTTGGGTTAATTGTTTCCGTGTGTCTTTGGTTTTCTTCATTCTTCTTTGCTGTGGACGAGGAGAGGCCTATCATTGTGTCTAGATGGCCGCTTGCAAGCTTTAAAGATCCCAGTTGCTACTTGCCAAAGTAAGATGTGGAACAGTGTTTTTGTGAAGTATGTTATGCCAATTGAGTTTGATGTCCCTTGTGACCATGGTCCTGTGTCCACAGGTCCAACTACTCACTCCCTCTTGGTAGCTGGCTGTGACCAAGCAGTGACTACAACCTTGTCCCTTGTCAGCTCTACTATATACCTAGAAATTCTTACATAACATACAAATACACTTGTACAAACATTGTTTGCCAACCCTATACATGGTCTTCGGCACACTTCCCCCTGCATAGATATACCTAATCATTCAGCCTCTCCACCCATCTATCCAACCATATATCAGTGTTTGCCATCACTGATAATGTAGCACTATATGTGCAAAAGCATTCATGTTTATTGTCTGTACCTCCATGCAGCTCTATGACTTCCTCTTCCTCAGTGCCACCATGTTGATACTCACATTTGGTACATTGCCCTTCCCTTCACCCAAATCAATACTTGTCTCTACCAATCTAGCAGTGTTCCCTCCCCTCCACTCCCCTCCCATGCCTGGTAACCAAATTTCCTTCTATGTATAAAGCTTTCCATGACTTTTTACAGTAACAGACTAATACAATGAGAACAGACTAATACAATATTTGTCCTTCTGTGATTGACTTATTTCACTCCGCATAATGTCCTCCAAGTTCATCCACGTTATATGGTGTTTTGCAGATTCTATATTATTCTTTAGAGTTGCATAGTATACCATGGTGTGTATGTACCATAGTTTGGTTATCCATTCTTTTGTTGATGGGCACCTAGGTTGTTTCCATCTTTTTGCTATTGTAAATAGTGTTGCAGTGAATATGGGTGTGCATATATCTGTTTTTGTCGTGGCTCTCACTTCTTTAGGATATATACCTAGTAATGGAATGGCTGGGTCAAATGGTATTTCTAATTCCAACTTTCTGCTTTCCACAGTGGTTGTATCATTTGACAGTCCCACCAGCAGTGTATGAGAGTCCCAATCTCTCCACATCCTCACCAGCATTTGTTATTTTCTGTTTTGTTGACCTTTGCTACTAGTGCTGGGTCAGCTCTATCCTCTTGGCCAAACTGAATAGCAGCCCCACACTCTGGAACTGAGTTGAAGATCTGATTCTTTGAGACCTAGGAGGCTGTAGTTCTACCCATTGAGACCACCAAAGGCCATGGCCCCAAGCTTTGAAATGAAGGCAGCCCTGCTTCTCATGCTCCTTCCAACAATTCTGCTGATTTCTGAATGGTTCCGGGGATGGTTATATTTTTTTGGAGGACAGCAAATATTGCTCCTTTGGACTGTTGCCTGCCTGTAGATCCCAAGAGGCATACGGCCTTCTTTCCTTTTGTTCTTTTTCTGTCGCCTTCAGTCTGAATTTTCTGTTGTGGTAGTTGGTTAGATTCACCAATCACTGGCTTAATCTCTTTAACAAAAGTTTGTGTAGCCACATCCTTGGTGAAATATCTAAGACACATGATCTTAGTTTATACAACAGAATTTTCTGAATCTTTTTTTATTTTTGTACAGTTTATTTTTAATTTTTGCACAGTTAATTTTTAATTTTTAGTTAAATTTTTTAATTTAATGGAATTAAAAATTTTACATTTTACTTTAAGCAGCAAGGAGAAACCCCATAGCCCCTTGACACCTTTCTTAGAAGTCTCCTCAGCCAAATATCCAAATCATCACTTACAATCAAAACCTCTACCAAACATTTCAATATATATCAGACAAGTTCTTTGCCATGGCATAAAAATTGTCACCCTTCCTCCATTGTCTAATCACATGTTCATCATTTTCTTTTAAAGCCTCATCAGAAGTACATTTAACATCCATATTTCTAGCAATATTCTGTTACTGACCTTGTATGTATTAAGACAATAGAGACCACCTCTGTAGTACTTCTCACTTCCTTCTGAGCTCTCACCACAGTTACCTTTGACATCCATAGTTCTACCAACAGTCTCTTCAAGGAAATCTAGGCTTTTACTGTTAGGCAGCTTAAAACTCTTCTAGCCTTTACCCCATTATCCAATTCCAAAACAATTTTCACATTGTAGGGATCTGTTAGAGCAACATCCCACTCATAGTACTGGTTGTCTTAGTGTGGGTTTTCTAGAGGAGTGAAACCAAACCAAATCCACTGCCATTGAGTTGATTCCAACTCATAAACACACATAAGGTTTTCAAGGCTGTACATCTTTAAGGAAGTAGATTGCTTCCTCTTCCTTCAGCAGAGCAGTTAATGGATTTGAACCACCAACCTTCTGGTTAGCAGACAAATGCCTTAACCACTGCACCACTAGAGCTCCTTGAATATATCTATCTATCTATCTATCTATCTACCTATGTATATATATATATAGAGAGAGAGAGAGAGAGAGAGATTTCAAGGAAATTGCTCATGTAAGTCCCAGGTCTCTGAGTTAGATGTCAGATGTGAAACTTCTGCTAACTCATATGATTGTAGGACTGATGAACCAAAAATCCATAGCTCAGGCAGTAGCCTGCTGACTCACGTGCCAAGAACCAGAGGTCAGAGAATGATGAATCAGATGTAGGATTGAGAGAAAGTGAGCTTTGCCAGAACATTTATGTATATAGGATGCAATATATACAAAGAAACTTCCCTTCAACTGATTGGCTATTCATATCAGATCATAAAATTGAGAATGATTACTTAGTATCTGCCAAAGCTCAGAGAATCATAGCCTAGCCAAGGTGACACATAAACTTAACCATCACATGTGATACATCCATTGTTTTTGGTCATTCCTTGCCTTTTAAGAAGTATTAACCTGGAAAAATGAGAAATGTTAAGAAAGGCCAGAGTGTAGAGTAGCAATTCACAAGGAAATTATATAATTAGGTTTTTGTGAGGATGAGCTACTTTTTATGCTCTACAATTTTGAGATCTCAAAGACGTTATGTATGATTTAAAAAAAAAATGATGAAAGTTGGAAGGAGAAGGGTAGTTACATGCTCTTGTCCAGTGTCGGGAAAAAATTTGGTGCTAAGTGACTTAGAAATCTACTCTGCCAAATGAGGTTTCTAAATCTATTAGCAAATCCACTCTTCTTTTTGAAACACTAAAAGGAAATTAAATTTTTTTATTACTCACTTACACTCAAGGGCAAAGCTTGATCATTCCTTGTAGTAGTTGTGAACTATAAATATCTTCTAGGATCTCTTGCTTCTAAACACCCATATTCATGTAGAGCAGTGGTGATTTCATTGTGACTGTTCTGTAATTCTCTACTTAAAACTTAAGTTTGACTGGTTTATAATTGTCTTTAATGTCATATTTTTATTACCTATACGTCTACTTAGTTCATTTCAAATGTTTTAAATATTTACATATCTAATATTAAAATTTCTTGTTGTCTCAAGGGTGGACTGAAAGTGGAGATGCCTATGAACTTAAAGGTATGTCTTAAACAGATTTCATGGCAGGCTAAAATTTTTTACTATTTTTAGGAATTTAACCATTAAAAAAAAAAAAAGAAAAGAAAAAACTTGATTATATGGAAATGGCCCATGGACCTAGCCCATGGACATTGGGGTCTTGGGAAGTGATTGCATAAAATAGTTGCTGAGGGCCCACTCTATGGGTGTAAATGGGAATTTGAGTCAGTGTGGAAAGATGGAGGTCTGTATGGACAACCCAGGTGAACACAAATAGTGTCTCCTTAAGGAGGAAAGATGATAGGTTGGGCTTTTTTGTTGTTGTTGTTGAGCTTGAGATGGAAGATAGCCATTGAGGCATTTCTCAACATGAAGATATCTATAAGGCATTTGGGAATAAATCTCAGGAAGGGGATCAAGGTTGATCAGAAGGAGGTGTTGGCAGCTCTTATCAGATAGATGTCCACTTGTAACTATGAATATCTGATGGGAAGAGTAGGAGGAATGAACACTGGGATGAAAGTAGTACCCTGATTAAGTACATTTTAGGAAAGGAAGGAAAGAGCAGAATTAGTATATGGATGTAAATAGAGACAGGATCAAAGATGCAAACTGCCCTCTGTGTAATTGAGTTACAGCACCTCCAGAGGCAGGTGTGGAAACATTGGGATTCATCCTTCTCTTTTCCTGCAAAACAAGACACAGCTTCTCTATCTCTCTTATTCTTGGGCTTCCTTACTTATGGAGTTGACTACCAATCACATTCTCTTAATTGCAGATGGGTTCTTTTTAAAATGTGTATATCTAATATACCTTGAATATATACTGGAATTGTACATATCTAAGTTTGAAAAATTATTTATACCTGTGTTCCACTCCCACAAATACTATTTTGGTCTGGGGTGTAGCTTGGGTATAGTTTGAATTTTCTAAAGCTCCCCAGTGATTCTAACATGCAGCCAATGTTGATAACCACTGATCTAATAGATGCAGGAGCTCTGGTAGCATAGTGGCTAAGGCACTTGACTGCTAACCAGAAGGCTGGCAGTTCAAACCCACCAGCCACTCCTCGGAAGGAAGATTGGGCAATCTACTTCTGTAGTGATACTGCTTCGGAAACCCAAGGAGGGGTCGCTATGAGTCGAGTCCGACTCAATGGCAAATAACAGCAACAACAATAGATGCAGGATTAGCTGTGACACTCCTTGAATGTCCTAGTCTGCTTAATCAGACAAGAAGTTTCTTGTTCTTTAGTTTTTTACTGACCCTGCAGTAGGTTGGGTCTTCCTTGGACATTTTCAGCTTGAAAATATATATGTACGGAATGTGTATGTACAGAATAGTTGCCACAAATAATCTCAATTTTCAAGTTGTATGATACTAATTTCTGACTTACAGAAGAATGATTGCTTCTTAGTTTGAATGTCTTCAGAATATGGAACATGAGTAAAACCCAATAAAACATCATCACTTCAAATACAGCACCCAGTGAAAATCTAATACGTAGAAAAGAGCAGGAAGAATACTATATATTTCTTTTGGTATGCATAATCCATTATCAGTTTTTATAAATAAGGAAGCTGTGGCTTGTTGGGCCAGTAGGTTTAAGCATGGGGTCTTGTTTGTCTAGGTCACGGGTTGTCAGTTGTACACAAATTATGATAAGACCAGAAAGAGTGTGGATAGGATAGCACTATTATCACTGTTAACACTTCCGCACTCTAAGGACAGCTTGTACTTGGGAATTAAAGAGGAGTAAAATACATTAGAAATACTTGTACCAATCCAAATTGAAGTAAATGAAATTTATCATTTACTGCTACAATTATCTTTCCAACTCCCCAAAAAAAACTCATTTGAATACAATATCCAATTTAAAAACCTTTAACTTTCTCAGTCATTTCTTATTTTCAATGAGTTTTCTATTTAAATTGAAGAATATGAATGTCTTTTTCTTCACAATAAATAGTAACAACCATAGAAGCAGTTTGTATTAAAAGAAACAACATGTGTTTTCTCAAATTAGTAGCTAATACATTGTTATGCCTTGGACTCTTGAGACTTTATTTCTGGTAGTAGGAAACTAAGTAAATGTAAGACAGATACGTATTAAATTCCAAATACAAGGATGAGCTTATAAAGATAATTCAAGAACAAGTTACGGGACAATTTACCCAGTGAAGTGGCCCTGGTATTTGGGCAATCAGAACAATAATCTTACTAAAGTGTATCAATATCAGAAAAATTTGTTATTAATTAAGATATTTTGCCTTTATGATGATAAAGACTCAAATATTCCTTGGATACTCTATTAGAATACTGTGCTAAATTGTGCCTACATGTTAATGAAAAAAAATGACAATGGTTCTTATTCTTGTTGTGATCTTTAGTGAGATTTAAATTAATCAGTGTGTATCTGTTATGAAATATGAGCTTGTTAAGTAATTTTCTTTTGTACTTTTCAGGTTATTATTTATGAGAAAGCTCACTTTTTTGGACAGGCCAAAGATTTTAGTGAACATATAGATTCTGTTCCTAATTTTTTAAGAAATGATGAGGATTTTCATGGAGTTGGATCAATTCGTGTCATCGGTGGCGTGTGAGTGTCATATTTTTAGTATTTTATTTAGTAGTCTATACTTACAGATTCATACCAAAAATGTGCTTAGCAGAACAAAACAATCTACCTTAATCTGAAAATATACAACCCTTATGTAACATCTTACTATATTTTTTTACTCGTGGCTTTCTACAAACTCTTGTCAGTATCAGATTTTGAGATGGATTAAATATAGAAAATACTTTACCAAGCTCCACACTTAGAATTTCTAGACAATATAGAAGACAAGAATTGTAAGATAAAATTACATTTTCACACCATGAGCATGAATGAGAGCTCCATTTTTTTATCATCCTCTATTCTGTTGACCTTAGTCAACTTTTGTGCTGAGAACCACAGCATTGAGCCCTTCCTAATTAAAGAAATAGCCTGGGCTGTGTGTTTCCAAAACCAAGAACCATTGGTTGAACTCTTTCTCTGAACTGCCCTTGAGGAAGTCACCTAGCATCCCTATTTGTATCAACCCAAATATTTAAACAAAACAAAACTCACTGCTGTCAACTCGATTCAACTCAATCTTCCTTCTGAGGAGTGTCTGGTAGATTTGAACCGCCAATCTTCTGGTTAGTAGTCAAATGGCTATACCACCAGAGCTCCTAACCATCATTAATGCCATCTTTGTCTTTATCAACAGTTAACTGAGGCAGCAACCCCAGAAAAATCTGTGAGCAGGCTGCTCTTTGCTTTTGTGTTCTTATTTTGGAAGATAAAATCATGGAGAAGTGTTCCTTATAGCTTATTGGTCATTGTCAATCTGATGTTGGAATCCCTTAAGAAACATCTTGTCATTTTGTTGATAGATTGGTTTATTTGGGTTGTTGGTTTGTTTTCATTTATCATTATCTCTTGGTATTTGGCCTAACATCCTGTAACTTGTTCAGGCTGATCTACCAAAAGATGCTGCTGAAATATTCATATAAGTTAAATGACTTGTCTAAGACTGCCTAATGATCTATACACTAACTCCTCACTTATTGAACATGGTTAACTTACAAAGACCAGATTGTAATGTGAAAATCATCATTATGCAAAACTTTAGCCAACAAGTTGCTCCTTGGGCTCCAGAAGTCATTTTGGAGGCTGTCCTTTGGGGCTGCCCTCTCCCCTGTAGCCACTGATCACAGCTCTCTTGTCTCTCAGCTGTGACTTCGTTATTTCGGGTAGTTGGGCTGGCTTAATCCATTTCAAACTACAGGCAGAGCTGACTGGATCAGGATTTGCATCCAGGAAGGGACCCACTCTACCCTGACCCCTAGAGAGTTCTTGCTTTATGGAAACACAGACTTGTCTACCTAAAACCCCCATTAGCCCCAGTGCCCCCAGGTGCACAAATGGTGGATTTTGGTGTCTGTGGTGAGGCATCCTGTCTATGCCCCTCTGCTACCTTCTCACGGACTCTCTCAGGCTTGATGCTGTAGCTCCGCCATCAGCTTGCACCGTATCTGGGATTCAGTGAGTTCTTGGAGTACATGTTAAAGGGCCGAGGTGCTAGCTTTGGGACTTTTTTTTTTTTTTTTTTCTCTTATAACTCATCCACCACTAGGGATAGGGAGAAGAGGAGTGGGATGAGAGAGATCAGGGTCTCAGGAGGGAGGCATTCTCTCGCTCAGAACACATGGCTTCTTACCTAGCTTTAATATTATTTAAGGATATTCACTGTTCTCATAAATGTGAAATGTCAGATAACAAAAAGTTAAGGGAAGAGTGTATGTATTTAGAGACTTAGATTTTGCAATTTCTGACAGTATAACAAATGATGGTTGTATCACTCAAAATGGAAATGTTAAAGAGACCTTGCAATATGCTAGATATGTAGGTCATATCAATAATTGGCTTGGCATATTGGTTATTATTTAATTCTTCTTCCTTGAATTTAAAACATTTATTCAGAGACTGGAAGAACATACATGGTTTGGATAAACACATTTTTTACTGTATTTATTTGAAATGTCTCTAGTTAGTAAACACACATGCTTTTTGTTAATCTTACTATAAAATATTTTTGCTTTTTCCCTCTTTCAAAATCTGCTTTTCCCATTAATGGAATCAATTTAAAACTAGTTTCTTCTTAGTAGAAAATTATCTGCTAAAATCCAGAATATTTTTGGCAACTATTTTACAAAATTCTGATTAAAATATTATGGCATATAATACAGCATGCACACTTCTCATTTTTAAATGACAAGTACAGGAGAAGAATATAATACCTCAAATTTATTTAAAGATATACAACCAACTTTATTATTATTTTTTTTCTTTTTTTTACAATTTCTACCATTTTCCACCTTTGTTGGGTGTTTATTTGTAGGTTTTATAGATTCCTCCTCATCCCTGTCCAATCTTGAGGAATCTGGGGAAAGTGAGTTTTTTAATCTTTTCAGACAACCCCCATTTTTACATAAGCCAGATAAATATATAAATTGACTGCTAATCACAAATTTATTCTAGTAAGAAAAACTGGGCAGAAAATTTTGGTACTTTGATCATGTAATAGGTTATTAATCTATTCTTCATAGAGTTCCTGGGTGGTGCAAATGGGGAACACACTTGATTGCTAACTGAAAAGCTAGAGTTTTGAGAATACCCAGAGATGCCTTGGAAGAAAGGCATGACAATCTATTCTGAAAAATTAGCCTTTGAAAACCCTCAAAAAAACCTTCACTGCCATCAAGTCGATCTCAACTCATAGCCACCTCTCCTTGGGTATCCGAGGCAGTGTCTACAGAAGTAGATTGCCCGTCCTAGGGAGCACAATTATCTGACACATGTAGGGTCACCATGAGTTGGAATTGACTCAATGACACTTGGTAAAATTATTCTTTTAAATGCTAAGGACTTCTATACTTCTTGTTTTTTTTTTTTTTCCCATGTTGGCATATTGAAAGTATATTTCAGTAGCCACATTTATTTAAAATAAACCTAGAATTTGAAAGTTTCATTGTGAAATTTATTTTTGTATATGTAATAGTTTAAGAAGAAAATAATGTTAGTCTCTTTACACTTTACAAATATACTAAGATTTATAAGTTTGTTTATAAATTCAAGTAGATACTTTCTTCACCCGCTGTACACACACCTACACACAGAAATTTCAGGATTACTGAGTGACTGCTGTTAAGTTTTGCCCCATGAAAACAAATCTTTGGAATATATTTTATACCTTAACAACTGTAGTAAGGGTGGAGAAGGGGAAACCAGTAGTAGTTAGCCACCAGAGTTATTAGAATTCAGAAGCCCTCAACCTAGGAGCGCACAATAGTCATCCTTGGAATCTGCCCGATTAGAGGGGTTCCAATTCTAATTACACAGAGCAATGGAAGGAAAGTAGGAAGATTTAAGCAGGTCTATCTGTGCCCACGTAGCATTAGATACTGTGAGTTACTCCATAAAAAGGTAAGTTTCATGGAGGAGTTCAGTGACTAATGGTGTTTATCTCTGTCCTGTACTGATAGTTTTAGGTTGGAAGTCAAGAAAACTGTGTTCTTAAAAAGCATTCTGTCTCAGTGCTTCCTGTCTTCATTACCACTGATAAAACATTTCCCATCTGTAAAATACTTATGGCTGTCTTGGTATACATATAGGCCACCAGGATTTACCAGCTGTAGCATTTCCATGTTCCTCTTTGTAAAACACATCAGTAATGTATTTTAGTTTTGCACTGAAACTAAAGAGAGAGAGTCCCTTGATTTTAACCCTGAATAAATGTTTAATATAGTAGCTATTCTTTGATTCCAGAAGCTCTCCATCAGGAAAATTAGAATGATTATCTGTGGATCTCAATGTGAGCGTGTGACTTTTCTCCTTAGCTATTTGTGCTTTCCATTATTTTTACTTGGCAAACGATTCTCTGACCACATTAAGATGTGATATCACGTTATGCCACAAACATTTAACGAGCATTGCTCTGTTGCAATTCTCCAAATAACCTTTAGTTCGGAAAGGCTTCCAAACTATAAAAACTATTGATCCATGAAGTATGCGCTATCCATCTTTGTAAATGAAAACAGAACAAATGTGTGGCATTTTAGAAGATGGTGATGAGCAACTAGGTGCTTTATCATGATTTTCTCTGTTTTGCTTCCTTGACTAAAGTTTTATTAATAGTTTGATTGGATGTCCTCTCTGTTTTTAGGTGGGTTGCCTATGAAAAAGAACATTTTAAAGGCCAGCAATTCCTGCTTGAAGAAGGAGACTTTGAAGACAGTAATGCCTGTGGGGCACTAAGTGGCCCCATCTTGTCTTTCCGATACTTACAAGCTGTGAGTTTGCTTCTTGGTTCTTAAGTTTATGTCTATTTTATATTCCTTTTTTTTTTTTTTTAATGAAAATTGGCTGTGACCTCTGGTAGTTCATGAGATTATAAAATGATTCTAACACCTGGGAGCATTAAACTGAACTGCTATGATTATTCAAAAAAAAAAAAAAAACCAACTGCTGTGGAGTCGGATCCCACTCACAGCAACCCCTCGTTGGGTTTCCGAAGCAATATCACTGCGGAAGTAGATTGCCCAACCTTCCTTCTGAGGGGTGGTTGGTAGGTTTGAACCACTAGCCTTCTGGTTAGCAGTCAAGTGCTTTGGCACTGTGCTACTAGAGCCAGGATATTTATATTTACTTGTCAGCTGTTAATTCTATAGTCACTTCTTGAGCACCTGCTGTGTTAGAAGTATTGTGCTTGTTGTTGTTATGTGCCGTCAAGTTGGCCCTGACTCATAGCGACTCCTCCATTGGTTGCCGAGGCAGTATCACTACAGAAGTAGATTGCCCAAGGTATTGAAAATAGAGTAGCCAGAGACTGACTCACTGCAGTAACAGAGGTGACAGTCTGATAGGGAAGACAGTCAAATAATATCAAACATATATATAAAGTGCTATGGTTCAGTTAAGCACTGAGTGCTCAAGGTACCCAGAAAAAGGTCAGTTATTCACTCGGAAGGAATCAGGAGGACTTCATGGAAGAGAAGACATTTGAGCTGAAGTTTCAAGTTGATGAAAGGGCTAGCTAAGTATAGAAATTTTGGGAAAGGATGAAAGGAAAAAATAGGTACTGTTTTAGGAAGATATTAACATGTGTAAAAACAAGGATGTAAGTCACTGGTGCCCAGCTGGAGGTAACATTAACCTCTAGGGGACATTTGGCAATGTCTAGAGACATTGATTGTCACACTTTAATCAAGCATGTGAAAAGCAGAAATGGGGGAGGAAGCGGGCCAAGTCTCGTGAAGATTGCACAGGAGCAGAAGCTCAGAAGAGACAAGGACTTTCGCCAGAGCCGTTAGAGAGAGGAGGCCTTCCTCCTAGAGTTGGCACCCTGAATTCAGATGCCTAGCCTCCTAAATTGTGAGAAAATTAATTTCTGTAGTTAAAGACACCCCTTTGTGGTGTTTCTCTTAGAGCAGCACTAGATAACTAAGGCAGTGACTGAAACAACAAAAGACAGAATTCCAAGTCACTGGTTGAAATCTCCCAATAGTAGAAAACATGAAAAGATATAAAAGGAGATACTTGATATATACAAGGTCTATAATAATATACATATAGAAATATTGATTAACATGCCAAAAATGGGCATGTTAATTATTGCTACACACAATTTTGTGCATTTTCAATAATGGTATAACTTTTATATGATTTAGTAAACATGTTCTTTAAAGAAAATCCTCACTTCTCTCTCTTTAAATTAGATTTTTAAAACTAAAATTAAAAGATTAGTTGGTAGTTTGTAGTTAAATATATTATCATCATCATCTTTATAATACAGTCCTAACATTTTCAAGTACTTATTAATGGTTTTACATGTATAATTGTATTTGCCTTCACAAAACAACCTTATGAGATAGAGACTCTTAGGATTCCCATCTTACAGATACAGAAAATGAGGGTCAAAGAGATGAGATACTATGCTCAAATGTAGAGCTGTGATTCGAAGGCAAGTATGTCCCTCTCTCAAGCCCCAGCCATATTTTCCATAATCTTTTCTTTAAAAAAATATATATTCATCAAAAACCCGCTGGCATTTAGTCAATTCCAGCTCATAGCAATCCTGCAGAACAGAGGGTTTTCAAGACTGTTAACCTTTATGAAAGCAGGTTCTCCCACATCTTTCTCCCGCAGAGCAGCTAGTGGGTTCGAACTGCTGACTTTTCAGTTAGCAGCCAAATGCTTTAACCACTGTGCCACCAAGGCTCCTCTTTTATTTTAAATGTACTTAAATTTTATTTAATTTTTTTTTAATTATTATATTTTTGGGGAAGGTTTACACAGCAGTTTATGTTTTCATTCAATTTCTGTACAAATTGTTCAGTGACATTGATTGCATTCTTTATAATACATGAACATTCTCACTGTTTTCGATTTGATTGTTCTGGTTTCCATTGATTTAGTTTCCTTGCCCCCTTACATTCTCTTCATTCTTTTAACGTATTGTTCACTCTTTGGTCTCACATAGGTGATTTTTTTAAAGGAGCACAGTACTCATAGGAGATATTCTTTACTCTGTGAGCCAATCTGTTAATTTAGCTAAAAGGTGACTTTGGGCTGGTTTGGTTTCAAGTATCTCAGGGCAGTAGTCTCAGGGAGTCCTCTGGTCTCAAGCAGTCCATAAGTCTTTTTTTCCCCCCCTTTAGGAATTTGACATTCTGTTCCACATTTTTCTCCCCTTCTATTGGATTCATCTATTCTGGTCCTGATCATGTCTGTTTTCCTTTGTTTCAGATACTGAGACTAACAAAACACCTAAACGATAGAGAAATGCTAACCAAAAGCTTAGCATTTCATTTCTGGTGCAAATATATAGTCTGTGCAGACCTATCTGTGTATTTAAAAATAATTTGTATGATTTCGCTTTGTTTATATTTATACTCAATAAAATATTTTTAACTGAGATATGCTAAAAATCTATGCATATTTAGAGAATTGAAA